GAGAGACAGAGAGACAGAAAGCGAGAAATCAGTCCCCGGGGGTTGGCCACACTGCCAACTCTATTCTCCTCCATTCTCCTCTCGGGATCTTGGTCATGCACGCACATGGGCCTGGCGTGAGTTTAAGCCACCGAGTCCGGAATTTGAACCGCGGTCGACTACGTGGGAATCCAGCGACATAGCCATTACGCTAACTGTTGGTCCCAGTGTTTTAAAAATGTTTAAGTGTGTAGTTTTTTGTTTTTGTTTTTTAAGGGTTTTGCCATAGGGCACATGCACTAACCAGAGCGAGACAGTGAGTGAGAAAGTAAGAAATCACCCCCCATTGAGATGGCCACACCACAATCCCTTTTCTTTCATTTTCCTCCTGGGATATTGGGCACCCATGCACATACATCCAGTGTGCCAGTGGGTCTGGGACTTGAACCAAGTCGACCATGTGAGAGTCCAGCTCCTTAACAACCACACCACCTGCTGGGCCCATGAGAATTATCTTTAACTGAACTAAAAACCTGAAAATGAATTATTATTACATTATTTTGTTATAAATTACAAACAATATATCACAATTGGTAACATTCCTGATTGAAATTATAAAAGTCAAAGAATAAGGAGCCAAAGCTTATTATATAAAGAGTAGTGCATAATTATTTTGAAACGATGGATTACTGTATACAGACTTACTGAACAACTGTCTTCACAGGGCTTCCTTTAAGTAATGTGCCTAAATCTTCACTGGTTTTTAGTACAACACACAGGTACCAGTGTTGTAAGCCTTTGTTTTTCTGAGTATGGTGATGTTGACCCAAACTGATGCCATCTTAAAGCTAATCCACTAACTTCACCAATCTGACCTCTGTACATCACCACGTTCCTCGGGTGCATTCTGGGACTAACCTAACCTGCTATAATCATCACGCTATTATCCTTATTTGAGAGAGTGGGGGGTCTCTTCTTATAGGTAAGTATGGTATTAACATCCAAAGCTACTCAGTACATCCCTGCACCTAAACCCCATTACAGCCAACTCCTTTATAAGCCATATAAACATATAACTTGGAGTGAGTAGTGCAGAAATGTGCTTATCCTGGGGCCAGCCAAGGCCTTCCATAAGTTCCCTTGGTTAACTCTTAACTAACGAACCACATTTGTCTGCCTGATTCCTTTGTCTCTGAGACCCTTTGAGCTGTGGAGATCATTGTGCTTCTACGGGTTCACTTCAAAATATAAGGTAATGCAGGACCAGCAGTTAGTATAATGGCTATGTCGCTGGACTCCCATGTAGTCGACCGCAGTTCGAGACCCGGACTCGGTGGCTTAAACTCATGCCGGGAGCGGGTGGGCAGGGCCAAGATCCCAAGAGGAGAATGGAAGAGAAGGGATTGCGGCGTGGCCATCCCCCCTGGGGGGTGATTTCTTGCTTTCTGTTTCTCTGTCTCTCTCTGTCTTTCTGGTGAGCGCATGTGTCCTATAGCAAAAACCTCTCCAAAAACAAATTAAATTAAATAAAAAAATAAGGCAACACCAGGATTTCCTGAGAACAAGTCAAAAATGCAGAATATCAGTCCATCCCTGTATCACAATTCCTGAGGATGAGACCCAATAATCAGTTTTAAGAAGCTTGTTATTCTTCTGGGGATCAGCAAATGGTGTAGCAGTTATGTTGCTGAATTCCCACATGGCCAACTGCAGTTCAAGTCCCAGACTCGGTGACTTGAAAATCATGCAGTGTGTGTGTGTGTGTGTGTGTGTGTGTGTGTGTGTGCCCAAGACCCTGGGAGGAGAATGGAGAAGTAATTTCAGCCTGGCTACCCCTCCCCCAGCAGGGGTGATTTCTCAGTTCCCCTCTAACTGTTTCTGTCCCCCTCTCCCTCCTGCAAGAAACACCCATGCTCTAAGGCAAAAACATCTTTAAATAAAAATAATAAAAGCTACCTATATGACTCTGATGCTTTCACATTTGCAAGGTGCTGGGCTTGACATTCAAGAGATTGGACAGTATATCTGTATAGACACGTGTGGGCCAGAAGGACAGCAAAGGCCAGGAGAGAAGCCCTAGTGTAGTACAGATACCTTTGGAGAGAGGGCAGGAGGAGATGCATTTAAATGTCTGTGTAAGATAAGAAATTAACTTAAATGCAAATGACTACTCCAATATGTGAATTTTATAGGTAACTTATTTTTAAATTGTTTTAATTTTCTTTCATTTAGGGGAAGAAGATAGAGATGTACCCCTGATAGAGTCTTATTATTTTGTGATCCTCCTTACAGCTTGCCAGTCATCAAGGTTTTCAGGTACATACACTCGCCAAACGTGGGCCTCCCACAGGCTCTAGTATTACACACCAACACATTGCCACCTATACCAGCGCAACTGGGCCAGTTTTTATTAATACGTTTATTACTGTATTACAAATAGCTATGTAATTCTCTAAAAAATCTGGATCAAAACATCAGGAAATCCTGAAATTAAAAGCACATCACTTCTGTCACAATTTGATGGAAGTGAAAAGCAGTAAGAGAAACTGGTAGGACTTTGAGGCCTCTGAGAACCAGGTAGAGGTGAGATAAAGCAGGCAACTTCTGGCCAAGAATGTGGATGGATAGGGAGTTTCCAGGCAGAGGCAGGAAGGACTTGCACAATGAGGGAGAATGCAATTGTCTTAAACCTGTTGGTGCCTTTAGCAAGACTAAAGGTCTTCACATCCCAGGACATCCACCTATCTTTCTAAGAGTAGCTCAGACTAAGGAACTTTATCTACTAACAAACCTTTGTTCTGGGCGTTTTCACCCATTGTCTCACACCTCTCAGTAATAACATGTTAGTCTCATTCAGTTTAAAAAGAAAATCATTTGCTATCAATTGAGTGTTGAGTCCATTAATTCCTTCCCACCCACTGGCCACCTCCTTCATTGACCTTTTCTTCTATGAGGGGCTCTCTAAGTCACAATCATCTTGCTGGTTTGTTTGTTTGTTTTAACTCATCATTTTCTGTCTTCCATGTAGAAAAAAATATATACATTATAATAAATCAATACACCTTTTCTCCTATCATCAGTGATTATCAATGAACCTCATAGGCAAATTCCTTCAGCCCTACAATTGTAAATACCTTCTATATGACATACCTTAGGAACTCCAGACTTATATATACTCATATATATATAGCTTATTATAAATAACAAATAAATAAAATTAAATAATCATGGAGAGTAAGAGAATGAGCTGACCCCAAAAACTTAACGATATGGCCAGAATGCAGAAGAACTATAGAGACTGTGACCATATTGTGCAATTCATGATATAGCGTAAGAAAGGTACAATGTTTGTTTATTCAAATGTAAACACAGAGAAGGTCAATAAGTGGGGTCAACAAGGGTTAAGATATTACCAGGTCTGTATGAATAAATGAAGAGTAAGTAGGTTGGGCTGTTGGCAAGAATGTTATTACATTGAGATTGTAAACTGGACGAAAAAGAAAAGAAAATGGGTAGATTTGGGACTTGATTGAACAGAAAATCTAAAAGTAGACAACATTGTGCTCAGTGTGTGACTGAGAGATGTGGAAGTTGAGCAGTTCTGTGTAGTGACAATATCCAAGTCATGACTTTGGAAAGGGGCAACCTAGGCAATTTGAAAAGTAAGAATACAAGGGGAAAAATGTGAATGTTGAAGCTACACAAGACAATGGCAGAAACTGGGATGAAGACAATGATGGCCTACTGCCAAAGTCATTGGTAAATGAATGGAGTCACCAAGGGTTGGAGAGATGAGAAAATCAGAGGGAGGAAACGATACTAAAGAAGGATGGCCTGAGCTCAAAGGAGCACCATATTTACAGGGAAGGTGAAAGGACGTTAAGGAGGAAGCAGCAATGGGGAGCACAATGGACACGGATAACGCTTCCCAACTCTGAGCTCCATAGGGCTTGAGAAAAGAACTACAATGTATAATAAAGAAATCAAGGATAGTCACATAAAAAAGAAAGAAGAAAAAGAAAAAAGAAGGAAGAAAGAGAGAAAGAAAAAGAGAAAAAAAGAAAAGAAAGAAAGAAAGAAAAAGAACTATCACTGCTTGAGAGTGTTACAGGGAAAGAATGAGTTCTGAGGAATTCCAGGTTATGTTAGAGGCAAGAAGGTGGAAGAAACTCCATAATGACAATGCCTTTTTTTAAACTTAGATAGTGTTCATCCCAGAATTCTTGAGAGCTCTTTTCCTGCAATCGTACTTACACCTACCTCACTTCATCTTAGTCACCCTTCATCTTAGTCACCCTTCCTCCCTGTCACATACATATCAGTCTCTATGAGGTATTATTTTTTTCATAATTTTTTTTCAGCTTTGTTTTGTGTTTTCCCATCAACCGCCCACCTGAGAATATTGTCTTTCTCGGCCTGACCACAGAAATCAGATTTCCCACCAGGTCTTATATCATGTCCTCAACACAGTGATTTGACTAAGATCACTTATACTGATTTGACTGCCTACCCCTAATTCAAGAAAAATTAAATAAAGCAAGTGAAATAAATGCAGAGTCTGAATAAAGGGCTACAAGACACTTAAGACACACTCTGACTTACATATTTATTAGTGTGTCTCCATGAAAGGTCTGTTTTACCCAAATACCAAACCCCCTGAGTTCTTTTACACAGCTTGTAAGCAAATGTTAGCGTGTGGATTAGATTTACATCCTACTCAGAAAGAAAGAGAAAAGGTTGTGGGGCTGAGAAGGCATAACAAAGGTTTATTTTGTAGCTATGGAATCACCACTGCCTGGTTAGAGATGAACTTGACTGATGGGTTTTCCGTGATAGCCTCCCAGCACTTAATCTTAGCCAAATATGAATGTGCTGAATTTATTACAGTTGAGTTCTGAAATTAAAAATGACCATCTGTGGCACATGTGTGTGGTACACAGAACAGTAATATATTGTGGACCAGCCCAGCATGCAGCAAAGATATTGTGCTGGTGACAAGGCAGGAAAACTCACTCACACACCAAGACAGCTGAATCTGGTGGACACTGGTGTCAGTCCTCTGGGCAGGGATCTGCTTTCTGAAACAATGCACAATGTATATGAGATACTTATGAACAATTCCTTGAACTTCACTCTGTAGCAAACTGTGCAGCCGAAATCTGAAAATGCATATGACTTTACAGAAACACAGTAATTGCCCCAAATCAAATTTTAGAAAGAAAAAACATGACAAATGTCAACCCAAAACATTTCTTTTCTTCTGGAGAGCAACACTGCAGTGTAGATGACCATTGCAAAGGGAATTCCATTGGGATTTTTAGGTGACTATCAAGATCAAATCAAGAAGGTGTGTGTATATACTTTGTGACCAAAACAAACAAACAAAATAGCATTTTTTCCCTAGGATATTAGATGCACCTGAAATTCACTTTTGCTACTGATTCCAAAAGAACAGGATTGGGACCAGCAGTTGGTGTAATGGCTATGTTACTGGACTCCCATGTAGTCGACCACAGTTTGTGTCCTGGACCCAGTGGCTTAAACTAATGACGGGTGTGTGGGGGCCCAAGATCCCGAGAGAAGAATGGAGGAGAAGGGATTGTGGCATGGCCATCCCCCCAGAGGGTGATTTCTCATTTTCTGTCTGTCTCTCTCTGTCTTTCTGGGGAGAAGATTCGCCCTCTAGCAAAAACATATCCAAAAACAACAACAATAACAACAACAAAACAGGATTTATTTTACCAGGCTGAAGATATAGAACTTCAGTAGAAAACTGATCTTTTTGAGAATTTTATGGAAGATACCCTTATAAAAAAAAAAAGAATATAATTTGGCAAGGAGTGAGAATCACAGAGTCTGAGTAAACTTGCTTATTTTGAATGAGTTTATTCACACTTGGAAGTGTCTGGGTCCAGAAAGTTAAAAACTACTGGGTTCAAAAAATTAATTCTTGAGAGACCAGCAGATAGTGTAATGGTTACATGGCTGGACTTCCATGTAGTCAACCACGGTTCTAGTCCCAGACCTGGTGGCTTACAACTCACACCAGGCGTGTCTGTGTGCATGCTTAAAATCTCGAGAAGAGCATGGAGGAGAAGGGATTGTGGAATGGTCATTCCCCTGGGAGGGGATTTCTAGGTTCTTTTGGTCTTCTGTATCTCTGGTGAGCACAGAGCACAGAAAAACTCTCTCTCTAAAAAATAAAAAAATTAATTCATGGAATGCCATGTCAGAAGTATAATTGCAGAGATCAGGCTATTATTTCCATCACTTGGGTTTGTATTCCATGACTTAGTTTAGTTTAGTTCATTCACAACTACACAAAGTGTGTTGTATCAAGTTTCTAAAGAAATGGTGACGTAATGATGATGTTATAGCCATAAACTACAGAATGTCCAAATAGTGTCTTGTCAGTTAGCAATACTTCCTCATGGGACTCCTGATGACAATTTCCAGAGGAAAATTAGTAGAGTAGGGATCCAAATATTACCTTATCACCATCTGCTCGTTAGCTTTAATATCCTATGCTCAGTGATCTTAGCACTCTGAGAATGTTCTGAAGAAAGACAGAGAGGGATAGTGACCTAGAGAAAAGAGAACATGTAATGTCTACAGAACAGAAGAAACCCGAATTCACCCACTATTTTACTTCATTTGGTGCTATTTCAACTATAAATGATGGACACTCAGCTTAATCTGGCTGAAGAATATGAATAGGCCAAGAGAAATGCAAATGCCAATGAACCAATAAAAATATTGTATCCTTTCAAAAGAAATGCAAATCAACCAATGAGGGATCTTTCTGCCTCTAAAATAGGCTAGCTATTACTAAAGGCTAAAAGGAATGATCATTCTCATGCAATGTCATATTAGATCTATTTAGAGATCAATTTAGCTAGAAAATGATAAAACTTATTGGTCTGGCAGAAAAATCATTACATATTTTTTGGTATTTTTCTACGCAAAAATGCATCATAACTTTCCCAATGACCCAATAGAAATGTGTCTCTTCATTGACTCATTTAACAAAACTCATGGAGCACTCAGTATATGCCAAGCACTTTGTAAAATATCTACCTCTTACAGTAAATCTGATCTTACAATAAAAGATACAAAGTACAGGGACCAGCAGTTGGTGTAATGGCCATGTCGCTGGACTCCCATGTAGTCAACCTCGGTTCCAGTCCCGGACCCCGTGGCTTAAAACTCATGCCAGGCACGTGTGAGTGCCTGTCCAAGATCCCGAGAGGAGAATGGAGGAGAAGGGATTGCGGCGTGGCCATCCCCCCTGGGGGGTGATTTCTTGCTTTCTGTCTCTCTGTCTCTCTTTCTCTCCCTGTCTTTCTGGTGAGTGTATGCACCCTATAGCAAAAACCTCTCAAAAAAAAAAAAAAAAAAGATACAAAGTACAAAAAATAGTGGGCCAGCAGGTGGTATGGAGGTTAAGGTGGCTTGATCTCACATGGTCAACTATACAGTTGGAGTACCAGGTCTAGTGGCTTGAGAAATACCTGGGCACATGTGTATACCCAAAATGCCTGAGAGGAGAATGGAGGAGAAGGGACTATAGCATGGCCATCCCCCCCAGAGGGAGTGAATGTTTTCTAGAGAAGGAAGTGGCAGGCAAATGTAGTAACATGTACAAATAACATAAGGAAGGAAAAGGAATGTTGAATACAAAGTCCAGTGTATCGGGCTCTGCTACGTTATAATAACAAATAATCCTAAATCTCAGGGTTTAAAGGACTCACGGCATATTTTTCGCTCACATTTTGTAAACATTATGAACTGACATGGCTTTAGTCAGCTCAGCTTCTAATTTTTTCCACTCTGGAGCACAGTCTGATAAAGCAGCAAGTGTCTGGAATATAAAACAATTACTGTGTCAAAGGGAAAGGCTAAAAGGAAAAACTGCTTACATGACCTCAACAAGAAGGCCCAGGGCATGCACTTCTGCCAAGTGCCAAGATGGAAGAAAGTTGAGACTTGGTGAGTAGACTAATCACACGGCCCGTGTGGCTGGAGCTGAGTGGGGTAAATATGAGCCAGAGTAAGAAAATCTGTCTCTACTCTCCAGCCAATGGGAAGTCATTGAAAGCTTTATAACTGTAAGAATTTCTCTTAACTGGAAAAATCACATAGTTGCATAAAGTTTAGTGCACAAGCTTCTTTACATCAGTAATCTTTATTAGTTTGTTAAATGGTAGAAAATTCTAAATATTCGAAGCAGGTTTCCTCAAAAGACAGTCACTACATATTCATGACAAAATAACAAATAACTAATGGAAATAATGTGCTTACAAAAATGTAACATGAGGGGGAACCAGCAGTTAGTGTAATGGCTATGTCGCTGGACTCCCACATAGTCAACCACAGTTCAGGTCCCGGACCCGGTGGCTTAGAACTCACGCCGGGCACATGTGCGTGTGTGCCCAAGATCCCGGGAGGAGAATGGAGAAGGGATTGCGGCATGACCAACCCCCCTGGAGGATGATTTCTCGCTTTCTGTCTCTATGTCTCTCTGCCTGGCGAGCGCACGCGCCCTATAGTGAAAACCTCTCAATAAATAAATAAATATGTAACATGAAGGACAGCAGGTGGCGTAGTGGTTTATGCACTGGATTCCCATATGGTAGACTACAGTTTGAATTCCAGACCTGGCTGCTTGAAAATCACTCTATGCACATGTATGTGCATGCCCAAAATCCCAAGAGGAGAATGGAGAAGAAGGGATTACAGTCTATCCATTTCTCCCCTGCCCAGGGGGTGGGATTTCTCACTTTTTCTCTGTCTCTCCAGCAAGCACATGTGGCCTATAGCAGAAAATTCTCTCAAACAATAAAAGGAAAATGTAACATAAAAATTATGGTATCAATTGAAAAAGTATGCAGAGGATACAGTACAAAATGAGGTTGATCTAATTTTTAAAGTATTACATATTTAATATACAGGCATTAAAAACGCTTAGAAATAAATATGAGGAGTCTTCAAAAATTCCTGGAATATGCGTATTATGAAATGACTGTAGAAGGATTTCAAACTTTTTTCACCAAAGTAAACTCATATTGCAATTCTATTTTTGCATGAATTCTTTGAAGTCCCCTTGTAAATACAGACACAGATATATTTCATCAGTATTTATTTGATCTAGGATCATGGTTTGCAGGGTTTTTTTACTTTTATTGTTGTTGTTTCCTTCATTATTAAGTGTGCTTTATTCTTGTGCTAATTTTTTGCAAAGAACTATTCGCAGAATTATTTTTAACTGGTAATATCCTTACTTACCCACGTTTAGAAAATAAATAACTTTTTTTTTCCTTTTCCATAAATAAACATGACATTTCCTGTAATGTCTTATTAATTCTATAGAAGTTTTAAACATGTTTTTGTCTCTGTTATCTAACATTCTGAAAATTGTGCTTAAATTACCACTAGTTCAGACACTATTTAGTAAGAGAGAGTTTAATAACATTTGTTCTCATCTTTCCAATTTTCCCTTGCCATGAGCAGCTCTACACCTGTTACCTTGGGGCCATGAAATAACAAGCTGTTACCCTGTCCAAAGTAACCAAATATTATTTAAAAAAAAAAAGAATAATTTTATTTATTTACTTATTTTGACCAGAGAGGGACAGAGAGAAAGAGATTGAGAGAGAGAAAGTGAAAAAGCAAGCTGCCAGGTCTGAAACTTGAACCAAGGCCGGCCATGTGAGAGTCTAGCACCCTTAACTACCATGCCACCTGCCAGCCTCACTAAATATTCTTTAGGTAGTTGGGACCAGCAGTTAGCGTAATGGCTATGTTGCTGGACTCCCATGTAGTCGACTGTGGTTTGAGTGCCGGGCCCGGTGACTTAAACTCACACCGGGCGCGTGTGCATGCGTGCCCAAGATCCCAAGAGGAGAATGGAGGAGAAGGGATTGCGGCGTGGCCAACCCCCCTGGGGGACAACTTCTCACTTTCTGTCTCTTTGTCTCTGTCTTTCTGGTGAGTGAACACGCCCTACAGCAAAAACCTCTCCAAAAAAAAAAAGACAAAAAAAACATTCTTTAGGTTGCAATTTGAGCATCCCATCAAG